CTGACACTGTGAGCTCGTAGTGACCCTTGCCCTGCTCCACACGGCGTTAACCGTGTTCAGTAACCCCAGCCCTCACATCTTCCCTGCTCACAAATGGGATTTATAAAATGTGACTTTGAGCAAGAGAGCAAAGTCAACTTTATCCGAAGCAAAATATTTTCCTTTATTACCATTTTAAATTCCTTCCTCAATGCCTCAAAGTGATGGAAACGCTAATCGATGATAAAATTTCTAAATTCGGCTAAAGATGGAGAATGGGGAAAGGAAGCCGAGTCCCTTTAATCAGGAAAGTGGCTGCTGCGAACCATTAACCCCTTGAGCTTAGAGACGTTTATTCATTTTTTTAAGATGCTGTAGTTAGGTCATCTGTCTTTGGCAGCCAGAGCATACAAAATCACTTTTGCTTTACACAAATTAATTCATTTAGGCCTGTGCATTTGTCAGGCATTCTGGGAGCCTTCTGCCAACATTTGGTTGATTAAAGGATATGTATTTTTGAAAATGGGTAGATTGGAAGGAATTTATAATTCTTAAAACCAAAAAGTGATTTACAATGCTGACTGCACCTTGAATCAATCGACGTCTGATCAACAGATAAATGAAATATTAAAGATTTGAAAGAATCCTGTACTGGGTGTTAAAACCTGTGGATTGATTGGTTCAATAATCCTGAGAAAGTCTACCTCCTTTCATCAGAATTTCCAGAACTCAAACAAGAACATGACACACAAAACCACCTTTAGGTATTTTTTTCGCATGGCTTCTGAAATCCATCCTTTGTCCATAATGCTGGTGCTTTCAGCCCTACTTATCAATGACCTCTCTCATTTCTGGGCATACAAGTTCCCAATCTTCACCCTGACTTTGATTCACTTTTCAGTGTTTTGTTTCATTTTATTTCCCCAGTGAATACATTTGGCCCTTTGCAGGGCACATTTATTGTTTTAAGCATCATGCAATTTGCTAAGTGGGGTTTTGGTTATGGAAATGCTCATGAAGAGCCCTGGAGAGAGAAAAAAAAATTAGGTAAATACATATGGGATCATCTTGTAGCTGGGGCTTCCTTCTTTGATCAGCCCTGGGAGAGACTGAGGAGGGAGTCAGTCTGAACTGGTCTATCTAATCTGTGATCCATAAAGCTGGAGACATTTTGCTGACTCCCTGGTGGTTTTAAAGCCTATGCAATGGGAAAAAAACTGCTTTAAACAAAGTCTCATATTAAAAGAAGCCTGAGTACAGAATGGAATTCAAAGAATTTGCAGCGAGGGGAGGTGAAAGTGGTAGGCGAATAGTTTTAAAAGGCCCTGAGAAGTTTAAACACACACACACACACACACACACACACACACACACACACAGGAAATAAAGATAAATCACACTGAACCAATTGTGAAATAGAACAGAAAGTTGCTCCAGCCAGGTATAGTGAACACCTACTGTGTGCAGGGCTTATAAAAGAGGCAAAGCTTCAGTGTCGTGCAAAACAGAATACTTTGTCAGGAAGCCACTCATAATTTTTCATGTCAGAAAAGACACTTGAGTTTTATGCACAGACTAAATGGCAAAACACAATGAATATAGGTCATGTAATTCCAATATTGGGAAAAGAAAGTATTCTATGTAATTTCTTCTTAAAATTCCATGCTAAAAATGTTGATGCTAAGTTAGGTAATGTGAAAGAAATGGTTGAGAAAAATGCTTACTTCTGAGGAGATGGCTGGCATCTCTAGGGTGTATTCCTGTCCTGTCTCTTCTCTCACACAACAGTTTTTTATTCTTGGCCAGTTTGTGTTTGTGTTTGACAATTCTGTGTTTTCGTCTTCCTCCTCCAACCCACTGCTCCCCCTCAAATGAACAAGAGTCTTAAACAGAGAAGCCTGAAGGAGAGGAGACCAGATGCTTGAAGCCCTTTCCCTATAAGATGGTGCAATCTCTGAGTTAGGGAAACAAGGGGAATTCAGAAGGAGGGAGAAATTCCAGGAACCTGTCAGATTTGGGTGACTGTATTCTGAGAGTTAGGATTAGGGAAAAGATGACATGAGTGCCAAGTTTTCTGGCATGAAGTCTGGAAGGATGGCAGCAACATGGAACAAAATGGGAAAATTGTGATGGGTGACTGGTCTTATAGTCAGTTAGAAATATAGAGGGAAATTTAGAAAATCTAGAAAGAGGAAAATTAGAGTGTTGTAGGGTGATACCTAATTTGAGATTAGAATAAATAAGAACTGACCAAATGAAGTTGGGTTGAGTGGGAAAGATGAAATATTGGGAGTCCCGTGAAGTAGTTGGAGATGTAGTCAGAGGAAAAAATCAGGACATTTTAGTTAAGTCTACGTTGATTCTCAGTCAAATGGAAAACCACTGCAAGAGTTTGACTCTCAGGGCCAGCAGATGGCTTGGAGGCACTGGATCCTACATTGTCAGCTTCATGGTTTGAGTCCTGAACCTTGTGTTTGCATGCCCCAAATCCCAAGAGGAGAGTGAAGAAGAAGGGATTGAGGCATGGCCATCCTCTCGGGGGGTGGGGGGTGGGGGATTTCTTACTTCCTCCCTCTCTCTGTGTCTCTCTATGGCAAGTGTATGCACCCTATAGCAAAAACTGAAAAAGAAAAAAAAAAAAAAGAGTTTAGCTCTGTGATCAAGGACACATTCTGTTCTGTTTCTAGAATGTCTCACCATGTACCTGGATTAAGTAAGCTTGTCCATCTGGGTTGCAGCACAGTTTTGCAATGAAAATTCACTACTATTTACATGTTGATGGTATTTGATTAGTTTTATTTTGTATAATGAGATGACAGAAACACCAAGTACACTTTTTCTTCATTTTCTTTCCAATTATTTTTCTTTTGCTTTTGTTCCATGGTACAAAAGGTTTTATAGTTTGTCCTCATCCAAATAAACGCATTTTTTCTATTGTACCCCCAAATTGCTCTTTGATATATACATACCTCCTCACCCTGAAAAAAACAACTAATGAGTTAGAACTGAGTCAAAATGTTCCCCAGGAGAATCTTGACAAATGTGCTCCTGTGTCTTTATATAACTTTCTGGGTTACACTGAGCAAATCTGGGGTAATATAGACTCCTACCAGCAAGGCAGATACAGACCACATATCAACCAATATTAACATTCTTGTTATTGTTGCTACTGTTTATTGTGCACTTACTAATTTCCAGGAGCTGTTCTGTTTGCATTAGCACATTGGTTTTTTCTTAAATGTCCTGTGACACATACAAGTACTGTTATTATCCCCCACATATTAATGAGAATGCTGCATCTCAGAGTGGCTAAGGCAGCATCTGAAGGTCACAAGAGCCAGTAAGTAACACAGGAAGAGTTTCAACCCACACTGCCAATGTCATTTGAGAACTTTTGAAAATATACCTCCATAAAACAGAAGTAAGCATAATGAGTAAATATAGCTACTCATTCTGGCATATCTAATTCTAAATGTACTCGCATGGTGTATTCCAAGTTTCTGGAAGTTATTTTATTCCTTTTCATCTTTTCATGAAATGGTGTGATAAAAACAGTGATTCTCTAATGGGGGAGAGTTCTGTGTCTGGAGACATTTTCATCTTCTGCGTAGGAGGATAGATGCTAACGGAATCTGTTGAGTGAATAGGAAAGATGCTGGCAAATATCCTACGATGAACAGGACAGCCCCACAACAAAGAATGATCCTGTCAAAATTTCCTATTATCCTGGGACCAGCAGTTAGCTAATGGCTATGTTGCTGAACTCCCATGCAGTTGACCATGGTTCGAGTCCTGGACCCAGTGGCTTAAACTCATGCCAGGCACGTGTGCATGCATGCCCAAGATCCCAAGAGGAGAATGGAAGAGAAGGGATTGTGGTGTGGCCATCCCCCCTGGGGGGTGATTTCTCACTTTCTATCTCTCTGTGTCTCTGTCAAGTGCACACGCCCGATAGCAAAATCCTCTCAAAAAAAAAAAAAAAATCCTATTATCCTATCAGATCATCCACAGTGCCTAGGCTGAGACTCTCTGCATTAACAGTTATTTAAATGGGGATCTTGAATGTAAAAAGAAGTACAGTGGCTCTATCTTGCTGACCAGTGACATTCAACGTAAAGAAGCAGTTCTGGGAATGGAGGAAATAGCTGGGGTGGGTTTATTCATTTATAAAACTGCTACTTACAGAAGAATTTTCATGTATCAAGAATTACGCTGAAGCAAGATGGTGCTGAGGTTTTTTAAAAAGGGTTATGTAAGCGAAGCCGACCTGTGCATCTTCATTCAGGAATATGAATTAGGATTATGAAATGGGTTTAAGACTATTGGTAGGGGAGAAAGTGGGTTTGGGTAAATGGTTCTCTTATGGCCCTATTATGATTTATCCCTTCTTTGAAAGTTTTGGAAAAGTGGAAAGATCATTTTGTAGCATTTCCCCATTCTTGTTTTTAAAATGAAAAACATGTCCCAAGCCTTATAAATGGCTTGTATTGAACTTTTGCATTTGAATTTAAGATTGTTAAACATGAAAAACAAGAGTTATGCTGGATGGTAATGGTGAGGAAAACGTTTATTTGGCTAAAAACAAAAAGGGATAAAAGGAGAAGCAAACCAAAGATGCTTGGTAGTTAAAGGAAAGCTGGGGGCAGAGCTTGGATGCCAAGCATAAAGTATTTCTTCTATCATGGAGGGAGAACACACACGTCTTTACAGGTCTAAGGAGAGTCAGTGTGTTCAGGGACAAATTTGAAAGTCCTCTGCTACTACCAGGAGCAACCTGTGTAATTGTTTTTTCCCTTTGGTCCCTTTTCTATCTCGACTTAGGCTGATTTCAATTCAGGGCCACAGGGGCTAAAAGCAAATGATGTTCTTAGAAGCAACCTGGAGTTGTGATAGCAATATTTGTGAGTGTGTGTGTCTTGGAGAGGACGCGGGGCTTGCATTGCTTTCGAGTTGTGCAGCTGGCCTGTGAGCAGGTGCTGGCTTTTGTTTTTCCAGTAACAGCTCTTTCTGTTTCCAGCAGTCCTATGCACCAGCTCCCCACCCCATGGCTCCTCCCAGTCCCAGCACAAACAGCAGCAGCAACAACAGCAGCAACAACAGCAGTGGGGAACAGTTGAGTAAAACCAACCTGTACATTCGAGGCCTTCCGCCGGGCACCACTGACCAGGACCTCATCAAGCTGTGCCAACCGTAAGTATCCATTTTCTGCCATTTCTGACTCACATATTTGCCTTGGTGGGCAGGAGTTGTTCTTGCATCCAACGCCCTGTGTGTTGGTGTCCCAGTGAGGAAGGCTCTTCTGTACCAACAGGGCTTCCATTTGCAATTGGATTCCAGCTTATATGAGGTGGTGGAATTTGTTTTAATGTTTGGTGTGGTGGTGGAGGTTCTTGGTAGAGATCCATGGTATTGCTTCCTGATTTATCTGTGTTGAACCAAATATGAGAGTTTTACTCTCAAGCCATGTGGCTGGTGGAGTCAGTGATGAATCTCATCAAAGATGGCTTTTCTGGAGAAGTAGGAGTGAAAAGAATTTCTTAGTCAGAAGTGGAGCCAACTTATGGCCTGGTGGTGAAGTTGGTTGGATCCCACATGGCTGATCATGTGCTTTGAATCCTGGACCCGGTGGCTTGGAAAACATTCAGGAGTGGTGTGTTCATGCCTAAAATCCCAAGAAGAGACTGAAGGAGAAGAGAACACAGCATGGCCATCCCCCGGGAGGTGTTTTCTTACTTTCCTCCATTCTCTATCGCTTTATCTCACTCTCTCTGATGAATGCATATGCCCTTTGGCAAATTCAAAAGAAAACAAAACAAAAGCAAAAATCCTAACTCTGAAGGATTTCAGGATGACTACCTCTTGCGTTCCAAACTTTTCTGGGCAGTACTTGGTACATGCAGGCTTAGACAAGACTAGGTGATTGAAGAATTATTAATCTCATCTTCTAGTCTCTGTAAAAACATCTACTGCCAAGTCTCATAAAGCTATCTCCACCAAGGTCAAGAACCCAAAGGCACTAAGTAGTTTTGTATTTGCCAGGAAGTATAGAAATTATTATGTTCCCTTCCAAAATATTTTTATTACTCTATTATGGTCCAACCTATATTAGGTCTCCTATTTCTCTGCAAATAAATTAATTGTATTTAAGTTTACCTTCGAAATTAAATGAATAATAAATTATGAATTGCAAAATCATAGACCTGTAGTTTTAGATTGCTGTCTACGTATTATTAGTACTGATATTTGTCATTTGTCCATTAGCTGAGTGTTTTTAAATTTTCGGAAACTATTACTCAATTGTTCTTTTTCTCTTTTGCAATGTTTTTATAAGAAGGTTAAGATATTTATTTTGTAAATTTTCCAACCTCTAAAATATTGGAAGTGGAAAACAAACAGTACTTGTTTGCCTTTGTTCTGGATTTTAAGAGTGGGAATGCATATCAGAACAACAGAAAGTGACAGATAGACCAAAACAGTGAGACCAACTGAGACCAGAAGACCACCTCAGACCTCCCACTGCCTTCTGATTGCCCCAAGTACATCCTGGGTCAGCTGCTCTCACATCCCTTCACCGCCATTACTCTTGGAGCCTGTGCCCAGAGCAGGGACCAGATGCAGGCAGTAAGCCCGACTGAGGTAGGAAGACTGGATCAGACCTCTAGCTGCCTTCTGTGTACCCAGGAATACTTTGAGATTTCAGAGTTTTCTGAACCATGCGGATGCCTCTCTCCCCCAGTTGAAACACTCCAGTGCTGGCCCAGGCACACCTGGTTCCAAGAGACTGGGAAGGGAGTCGACACCTAAAACTAGCTATATACACACTTCTCTGACTGGAAGACAAGGCCCTCTACCAAGAACACTCCTGAGAAGTAGACCAGAACACAAATACGTGACTATCTAATCAGTTGAAAAGGCAGTAGATGGAGGAGGGTGGGGACACCTTGTTGCGGTTAACTGCCTTCATTTATGAGAGATGTACGGCAGACCCTTGAAAGATAGATATTTATTTAAAAGGAGTTCTTTAAAAAGAAGAGAAAAGAAAGGTTAAAAATGTCAGAGCTGGACCAGCAGGTGGGGTGGAGGTTAAGGCGGCTGGATCCCACATGGCTGACTGAGCCGTTTGACTCCTGGACCCAGTGGCTTGAAAATTGTGCAGGTGGCATGTCTGTGTGTGGCCCAAATCCTGAGAAGAGAATGGAGGAGAAGGAATTGAAGTATGATCATCCCTCCTGGGGGGTGATTTCTCACTTTTCTCTGTCTATCTGTCTTTCTCCAGTAAATGCAGGCAAAAATAATGCCCAGAGCTGTGCCGGCCCCATGGCCTAATGGTTAAGGGAGCTGGATCCCATATGGCCAACCATATAGTTTGAATCCCCTTCCTAGCAATTTGAAAAACATAGTATGTACATGTGTGTGTACCCCAAATCCCCACAGGATGAAGAAATAGAGGAAAAGGGATTGCAGCATGATCACACCCCATTGGAAGGTATTTTCTCTCTTTTCCCACCTGCCTTTCTCTCTCTGGTGAGGGCATAATGCCGTTTGGCCAAATTAAAAAAAAAAAAATACTTAGCACAAAGACATGGACATATAAGAGGGGTCTTCAACATCTTCATTTCATGGAAAATACATGTGAGGAAAAAACTATGCATGAATTTAAAAAAAATGTTTACACCAAAATAAACTCATACTTTGATTCTATTTACCCATAGATGATGATGATGATGATGATGATTATTTTTGGAGAGGCTTTCGCTCTAGCATGCATGCACTCACCAGAAAGAGACAGAGAGACAAAAAGCAAGAAATCACCCACTGGGGGGATGACCTTGCTGCAATCTCTTCTCCTCCATTCTCTTCTCAGGATCTTGGGCATGCACGTGCACACACCCAGCATGAGTTTAAGCCGCTGGGTCCAGGACTCGAACCATGATTGACTACATGGGAGTCCAGTGACACAGCCATTACACCAACTTCTCGTCCCCCCATGGATTACTATTTTCTTAAAGTCCCCTTTAGTATGTTACATTTCATTGTATAAAGTTTTGGAGAATTGGAAAAGAGATAACTCATCCTTTCTTGCTGTCGTCGTCAGAAAAAATCTGTTAAAAATAATGTCTTCAAAAATGTGAAAGGCTGCTGGCTTTGTGATAGGAGGTGCACATGCAGTATCCTCCTTTTGATGGATATTGATGTAAAAGGAAAAGTCCTGCGATCCTTGATTTGTATTCAAATCTCAAATCATAAAAACGTGTTCGTGGGTATGGAGGGAAGGCTCTCTACCATGGCTGTATATCCCACCCACAGAGCTTGTCGAAACAGATTTCTGGCTCCAGGAGAGTCCCCAGGTCGGGAGTAGAACCGAAGCTTATGTTTTTCTCACAGGCTCCCTGATGTTGATGCTGCTGGTCTTCAGAGAAGCCCTTCTCTCCGCAGTCACCAAAGACCACTATGACTGTGTCCATTATATGGTGTTTCATTTAATTGATGAGAGTAGTTGAGATAGAATCTTGGAATATAACATCTGTTCAGCCACTGTATGATCTTGAAGCAAACTACTTCTTCCTTTTAGCCTCAGTTTCCTCTTTCTTAAATGAGTGGGTTGGGTTTCTGGATTTCTGTGTGGCACCACTGGTGTATGGAATTGCCCCTGACTTGTACACTGAGCCGGGTGCTAAATATTTAGGAATTTTGCAATCAAATTGTCACAATTCTGGTAACTTGAAATTTGCCATGGTTGGGGTATTGATAAGACAAGAACGAGCACTTCCTCCAAATCAGAGCTTTTTTTAGATCTCATAATGCCTTTTTCTTGAGAAACCTTGAAAAACCTCATTGTATTTATGGCTGAGCTGGTTTATGAACACACCACTCAAGTATAATAGTATTGCACTATACATTTTGGTGTCAATTTCTATTTCTGCAAAGAACTGCCAGAATTTTATAAATGCAAATTATTAGCTAGAAGCCTAGATTGGCATTTTCAACCCAGAAAAGTGAGGTGGTGTCACAGAAACGTTGTTACTTAGGAAGTTCGTTTTGTTCATGTTTCTTAAGTGCATCTGAGAAATGTAAAGAATGCTGAGTGAACAGAGTAATGGTCCTTCAGTTACTGAAGTAACCTAGACCTGGGGTTTAGTACTCACATTCTTTGTCCTAGAGAATCTTTGAGAACTGATGCGATCCAGTAACTTATTGTTGTGCAAATAGTTGTGCACTCCAAAATCTGCCTTTTAGTTCTGGCTATGTGACCGAGTTGGGTTTGTGGCTTTACATAAATGACTTTTTCCCCTTCAATAGATTGGTTTCTCCCATCTATAAAATAACAGATTTGAACTCAATAGTGTTTTATACTAATTTCACTCTGAAATTCTTAAGTTTGACCAAGGGCCTCTTTATAATCAGCAAAATTTGCTTGGGATCACCCTTTCTATTTTTCTTCAGTCCCCATTTATCGTTCACCAGGACCACAGCTGGAGTTAACTCAGCTCCATGAGTCTGACTTGATGGCTGGAGATGCCTTTGGTAAGAGACAGAGTAGAACATTTGTCAAGTTCTGCTTCTTCTCTTCCACTGTTGGTCTCTTATAGTGCTCATTACTGTTTTACATTAGCAGTCTTCCAAAGATTAAAATCATTTTGCATTCAAATTACTCATCCAATACCTCTGAAATAATTTTACCCATAAAATAAATAATATTTGTCTGCTCAAATGAACTTTCCATCAGTATGCATTTTCCATATTTATGCCTATAAAGTTATGCGTTCTTTTAGTCTTCTACAGGAAATGCAGTATTTGCTAATAGCCATGGCAATAAAACAATACAAAACAGAGATATAGGAAAAAAGACACAGACATATTGAATTACCTGGTATTAGTACACACTATCCATATTAATGGTAGTGAACAGCCAGAAAATGATATGAAGGGAAATGAAATTGGATTATTTCTCTATGTATAATCTGAGAGCAAATTCTTACGAAGAAATTCTATTCACATTCATCATCAAAGCTTCTGTAGTCACATCACAAGTAAAAATCAAAGAAAAGAAGACAAGAATGAAGAATAATAGACATGAAGAATGATTCTGCACTTTGGAAAATGTCTCTGGTTATACCTGTGTTTTGGGGTGAATATATTACATTGTGTGTATTGTAGGAAATAAGATAGTTAAAGATCTCATAATGTCT